GCGGTCTTTTTATCTGGAGGGAGGGGGTGGTCGGCGCTTTACGAGTCTTCTCAGCGACAGATCCGATTAAAATAGCGCGCGCGTATAGCTATTGCTTTCAAAAACGTTTCGTGCACTGGAGCTCCAATCGTCGTTACGATCGAAGCCAGGATTCGTTTTGATCGTCCGCGTACGGGAATCGTGATGGAAAAAAGTACTGCGGGTCCCTCGGGCGCAGACTGATTATTAATCATCGATCCAGCGCGTGCGAGTGTAATAAATAACTGTTGTGCACGTAGGAATTTTTTTGTTTTTACCTCACGTGATATTTTTCAATCGGTACCCACATGAATGCAGTAAACAGTGCGCGATCGAACGATTTGACGTAGTGTTATTTGCGTTGTGCGCGTTGAACTAAAATTGCTCTCTTTGATCATTTTTGACTTACGGTAAAGAAACGTTTTCTACAACGTTCGTGTACACGCGTACTGCTTAAGCGTCGGAAAACTAATCACTCATTAGCAATAAAACAATACGACGACGCAATAAGTCCAAATGAAATACGCAATACCGTGCATAACTTCGCGTGGGCGCTTGGGCGAACGTGATTACGAGTTGCGCATTCGGTATATCTACGATGTAAACGAAATAACAATGAAAGTTTTTGCAATTACTGCGTACACTATTAACGAGACGTTTTCGTGCGTTCACAGGTGGCGTCCGGACGATGATCTGGTCAAGTCCGCCCGGCACTGTGGAACAGTCCACGTCGCCGGCCAGCGTGGGGAGCGGATCGGTGCAGACGTCAACGGTTGGCTCGCCGTATTGGTCGTCCGCGACCACGTGGTCGTCCAACACGTCGTCCGCGTCATCGCCGTCTCCATCGCCGGTGGTCAGCGAAGAATCGGCCGCCCATCTGTTGCTGAACCTCGGCGTGGCCGCTGGCCACGACGCCGCGTCCGTTATCAGCCACATGCCCGGTCTCAGGCCCATCAGCGGCCAGCAGGCGTCCGTGGCCAGCAGCGGGAACAACGGTGGCGGGAATAGCAACGGCGGTAGTGGTGGCGGCGGTGGCGGTGGCCAGCAGCAAAGCTTCCACGTGCCGCTCAATATGGAACGGCTGTGGGCCGGCGACCTATCGCAACTCCCGGTGGCCGCCACGCATCAGATGCATGCGCTCAACCTGACGGCCAGTACAGGTGGCGCGGGCTGGCCGATGAACTCCTTGAACGGCGACAACAAACCCGCTCCCGTCAACACGTACCACCAAATGGAGGAGGCCGACGAGCAGGACCAACCGATGGTGTGCATGATCTGCGACGATCGGGCCACGGGTCTTCACTACGGCATTATTACTTGTGAAGGGTACGCGAATAAAATATCCTATCGTTTTTTTATAATAAATCCCGTGTGTAATGGTTTTTTGAGACATGCGGAATCGCGACGATAATATTTTGCGTTTTCGACACGACTGTAACTGCTATACACGTGCGGATCAATTATTTAGAAAATGTCTACTTGGTTTATTGAGATTTTTCGAGACCAAGTCTTCTCCCTTATTTTAACGTAAATACTTGTACCGCTGCGGAGGACATGTATCGTTTTTCCATCCCCATTAGACACTGTTCACCTTGCTTATTGCGTAAGACCAATTAATTCAAACACTTTTAAATAACATAATTTACAGTAACATGAGATTGCCTTGTTCCAAATGAAAATCGAAACAATCGTTGCATTAGAAATCACAGTAACAACTACGCTGTAAAGCAGCTCTCTACATTTAATAAGTTAAACTTTGTCAAGTTCTATAGTCAAACTTTGTTGTAAAAAATTATATATATATATATATATACATAAATAATAAAACGTTAAAAAAAAGATGTTTACGGCTTGGGCACGTGTGCCTAGGTTGTTTGTGCATGAATCCCCGTTACTGTACACGTTTTGCAGGACCGAGTTACACGCATGCACGTATTTATTTCCTAATATATCAAACTTGTTACGTCGTGCTGTTTTATTTTACTGTCACCATACGAGTGCTACAATACTATTTTTTTGTTATACTATTCATACACTAATTTCCGGATTTTAAAACTGTATCGCATCACATTGAAATTTGTTTAACGTTGCTTTTCTGCTCCGCTGGAAAATCACGACTCTGCTCGTATATAGCGCTGCAGTATTGCAAACTTATCCACGGTACCGGACGTTGTTGCCATAACTGTAAAATTCTTAACGGTAACGGCGCTCGCCTTGCTCAAGGACGACGGCTTTATTTTTATTTTTTTACTACAAGGTTTTACCGAGGCACTAACACGCGCTCGCCGTGTGCCATGTATAGGAGTCGTTAACACCAAAATAAAATCGTATATGTTTTCGTTATTCGCACGGCCAACATTAATCATTGAGTGGGTGTGTTTTCTGTCCCTTTAAACAGGTGCAAAGGGTTCTTCAAGCGTACCGTCCAAAACCGAAGGATATACACGTGTATAGCGGAAGGGACTTGCGAAATAACAAAAGCTCAAAGGAACAGGTGCCAGTACTGCCGGTTCAAAAAATGCATAGGACAAGGGATGGTGTTGCAAGGTAAGTTTCTACGTATCTCGCGTTACCGATGTAAAATTCGAATATCGGAAAATCGGAATATCGATGACGAAAAACCGTATAGCTGTGAAACTCTTAATAAAGTCGTTTATATTGTGTTTGTTATAGCCGTTCGAGAAGACAGAATGCCCGGCGGAAGAAATTCAGGTGCTGTTTATAACTTGTACAAGGTAAGAATTACCATCATCGTACATTATTATTATAATTCGCTTGTTCGCACGTCTCCCGGAGACTATATGGACCGACGGTGAAATAATACACAAACCGTGGTGCGTGTTTAGGTTAAGTACAAGAAGAAGAGACCGCCGAAGAACGGTCAGGTAAAAATGGAGAAATCCGTTCCCTGTACCACGGCCAGTACGATGACTACGATGAAAACGGAAAACCAGGATAACGCCTCGTCTATTTCGACACTGGTCAACGGGACCATATTAAAGACTGCACTGACGAATCCAAGCGAGGTAATTTTGCCGTTTGCGATTTTAACAACTACGGGTACTTTTACGAGTTCGACTGTAATAACAGTATAATGTCCTTGTCGCGTAGGTCGTTTACCTCAGACAAAGGCTAGACAACGCTGTGAGTTCGTCGAGGGACCGTACGTTTTCGATCGAAGCCACGGTTAACATGATCAAGAATCTTGTGGACTGCGACGAATTCCAAGACATCGCTACTTTGAGGGTAAGTACTATATTGTTTCGCATATGACGTAGCAACGAAAAAAAACTCCTTCCCGTAGAAACCTTTATCCTTTCCTCGTGTAGTGCCACCCGGAATATGATATTTGTTTGAACACGAGGGATTTTATTGTTGTGTTGTAGAACATGGAGGATTTGCTCGAACACAATTCTGATCTATCGGCCAAACTCATGCAGATCGGCGATTCGATCGTGTATAAACTGGTGCAGTGGACTAAACGTCTTCCGTTCTACCTCGAACTGCCCGTCGAAGTGAGTATCCGCAGCTCTTACGGTTTTCTTGTTATGTAGTGCGTGCATAAATATAGAACTGTTGTAACGACGAACGGTAACCCGTTGCAGGTGCACACAAGACTTTTGACTCACAAGTGGCACGAACTGCTCGTGTTGACCACCTCGGCGTATCAAGCAATACACGGGCCACAAAAGATATGGAACTCCTCTAATATCAACGGCGATCGAAACGACGATTCCGAGTTCCACCAAGAGGTTAGTTGGTATAAACTACCTCCCCCTATCCCTATCCCATCGTGTTACTCCTCCAAACCCTTTTTTGTTGTCGGCAATACATTATAGCTAATAACGTGCACTTGAACATAAATAAGCACTCACGCCTCCGACTGTCTGCAGGTATCTCACAATTTATGCATACTGCAAAACTGCTTATCGTCCATGATGGGTAAGCCCATAACGATGGACCAGCTCCGGCAAGACGTCGGCGTGATGGTGGAGAAAATCACTCACGTCACCCTCATGTTCAGGCGGGTAAAACTGCGGATGGAGGAATACGTGTGCCTGAAAGTCATAATCATGTTAACTCAGAGTGCGTGGAACATATTATATCATTATCGCGCGTAGTATTATACACGCGCAATGACAATATTTACCGTTGGCATAGGATTGTTTTTTTATTTCAATTTTTTTTCATTTTCATTCCCAACCACAGATAACGGCAGTACCACTAGCGAGTTGGAAACTATTCAAGAGAGGTATACGTCTTGTTTGAAGACTTACGTCGAACACACTTTTCCCATGCAACCCAACAGGTTGCAAGATCTCCTCCACCGACTGCCTGAGGTAAAAATAATAAATATACTATTGCCTCGTGTGTATACCGTAAATAGCGTGCACGTTTAAGTTTTAAACCGGCTCGTGCTCATCGATCACGGTATTGTTAGGAATGCAACGAATATATACTCTCAGCAAAATAATATAACATATAATTCGATTAGAAACGATACTTCTAAGTTACCTTGTAATACCAATGGTTTTATTTTTCATTCTTGTGTTGTAGATTCAGTCGGCTGCTTCACTCTTGTTAGAGTCGAAAATGTTTTATGTGCCTTTCCTCTTGAACTCCACGATCAGAAGTTAGTTTTACGGAAGATAGCCTCGAACCGAATAATAACCAGTTACCAAAATAATAACTAAAGAGTATGAACTATACAGTTTGAAAATGAAAAAGAAAAAAAAAAGAAGAATGGGAACGACTAGACTATTGTAACCCGTGTGTTTTCGCGCGCATAGTACGAATTTGTTTTGTAGGTTAATTATGCATTGTTGATTGTTATGAGACCAAGAGGAGATTCTTGTACTAGAAATTTTTTTTAACATATTTATACATAAATATATGTATGTATATATGTATATATATATATATATATATTTGTTATGTTTCGTCGTGACGACGATATCCCATGTAACATACGTTTTTCCCTATATCATTTGGGAGTTATTTAATTGAACGCAGTTGTGGACAACAATTTTTATATAAACATAATATCAGTGTAATATTCAGTGTTATATATATAGATGTATACATATATGTATGGTTATACAAATTTATCCCTTGTCTGTATAAACTATAAAATAGAATAATTATACGGCGTGAGATGAGTTTGCCGAAAGAGATTATAATATACATCGTATATGGGTTACCTTTGTACTAATTAGACTTAATTATGTGTTATAGTGTATTATATTTCGGGTGTACGAACGAGTATGGTACCTAAAACATATATTAAATTCGATTACATTTCGTGGTTAAGATAGGCTGGACTATATCTTCTCTCTATCTCTTTATTTATATAGTATATCTCTAACTCTCCTTTTCATCGATAAAATATATGTTATAGGTACTTTCCTCTTTTTTTCACTTGGGGTTAGGCAAAATGAGTATACGCGCACAGTTGGTTTCCACTGAATATATTAACGTTTATTATCATATATATAAATATATATATACTCGAGATGGCTAAATTATTTTGGTATTTCTGATAACTTTGTGATTTCTTAATACATAATTATTATAGTAAAAATATATAGCTAGATAAAAACTTACATTTTCATATTCATTGCATAATGTAAATTACTTTCGTATAATATTTTTAAAAAATAAGTAAATACTTAATTTTTTTAATTGACACACTGCCAGTATAAATAACAATTTTGCATTATACTACTTTTATATTTTCATAAAAAAAAAAATAAGAAAAAAAGAAAATATATGAAAATTATATTTTTATACATTTTTCAATAAATGAAAAATATAATATATAAATATATATTAATAATTATAACGTAAAAGTATGAAATAAGTTAAATTAAACGAAATTCATTAGGTATTTTATTATATGCATTTCTGGACACCATCCCGGTACCCATTACAGTTTAACGCTTCGTATTTTCATTATATTTCAAACACGGTGTGATTGCTGATCGGACTCCTTATTCCTCTGGCAATTTTTAGGTTACCTATATAACGATAATGTATTTACCTCAAATAGAAAAACTATTCACGATTATACCCCTAATCATTTAGGTAGGTACTACACGAAACATGTTTAGATTTAAAACTAGAGTAGGTAGTCAAACATTAAAGTTACCAATTTATTACAATATAATAAAAACGACTCCTAAAAAAGATATATATATATATATAAATATTATAAATAAAATAATATATATATAAATACATACAGTGTATAAATAAATAAATAAATAAATAGTATAATTATTATTATATAGATTTGAAAATAAAAATGTTGCAAATAGGTACACTCTTATATATTGCAAACATGTTCCTTTAGATTAACTGGTAAGAAATTATTGTAAATTATGTCCAATGATGTTTTTTTTTTTTCTTATAGAAGTAAACAATATTGGGAATAGGTATTATCTTGTTTAACCTTTTTTTTTTTTTGTTATATTGTAACATTGTTCTTGATCGTTAAATTGTGTTCCAACATTACTAACGTTGTACTTGAAAACTAGATTTTGTAATATTATGTTTAAATGTTTATTATTCGTGATTAAGAAAATTATTTATAATATTATATATTGTAAACACTGACTGTTTTATCCGAAAATCGGTGCCTTTGCGCTTGTTTTTTAAATCATTGTAACAGAATCTGTCTTTTTAATGGAAATTATATGTTTGATAGAAATGTAGGCTATAATGATGATTAAAAAAAAAAAAAATGATTGATCTAAGCAATAACACTTAAAGGGGAAAAGATATTTAAATTAACTGAATCAAAAGACTTGTTTTACTATTAAATAATTGATTTTCCAATTTTATATGAATACTAGTGTATATTTTTATTGTTTTTACATCAATTGAATTTTACTATCGGCATTGGTTGTTCGACATTTTATTTCGATCAAGTAATTGTTTCGATATTTTATTTTTATTTTGAACACCAACATACAATAGAGTGGTGCAGAATGTTTTAATTTGGAGTTAAAATGCATAGATTTCTTTACTTAAATTTTTAATATTAATATTAGTTGATTGCACAAAATAGTTTAATTGATTTGTTTCACATCAAAATATTAAACGTCATTAGTATAACCGGTCTGAAATACTGTTAAATATGATTTTAATTACTGTTCCATCAGTATAATTAACTATTTTGTACAAAAAAAACATATTTAGATTGCGATTTCTGCCATATTTTGGTATTTTTTTTTTTTAATAAATATCCAAAATGACTGTAAAACGTTCTGAAACACTTTACTTGTAACCGCTTAATAATGTAAATATTGCAATGTCTTGTTTCTAATGTAGATTTACTTCATGACTCATAAAAGACAATTTTATACGTTTCTTATTTTTTTTAACAATTGTTTTCTACAAGAAAGCATTTAATAATAATTGATTAAAACTATAACATAATTGTGATAACTTTAAACATCAAATGAGCTCAATTTGTTTTCTTTTTTTTAGATAAACGTGAATTTCATGAAAATATTTTTCTTTAATTTGGGCTTTAATATAAAAATATATATATATCTACATAAATTATTATATACATATTATATGTAATTTTTTAACAAGTATCGTCATTTTTTTCCATTTAAAGACATAGCCTACATGACTTAAAACAATACGCTAGGAAATTATTTATATTTTGTACATAAATTGATATTTTAATTATTACAATATTTTATTTTGTAAATAAAAATGTTCAGTCAGTATTTGTACAAAATTTATAGACATTCACTTTACTTACTACTAGTAATATTTTGATACGATTCAAGTAAATGATTATATTTAGCTAGGGTATTAAATTAATTGATTAAACACGCTGATTAAGTTTCAAAAAAAAAAACATATTTTATGTTGTTCGTTTTTTTTTTTTTTTTTTAATGTCGATACTAGTGTAATATTGCATTTTGTTTGTTTGTTTTTATTTTACTTTTGTTTTTAATATTATTATTAGCATATTTAAACTTAATGATTTGAAAAAGAAAAATAAGCTTTATTTTTTCTTCTGCAAAGCAAAATAAAAAACATCTTTTACCATATCTTACATGTAATACCTATGTGTTTTATAAACTAGACAGGTAATTTGGTAAATCAATAAAAATAATAATATTGTTTCTATAAATGTTTGTGTATAATATTTCCAATCTCAAACCTATTCCAAAAGTTTTGAAACAATGAAAGTTTAATTTTTTTTTTGTCGTCTAGTTAAGTAGTATGGAGATGTGAAGAGAATTTTTATAAAACACTTTAATAGTTTTTAAGATAGTTGACCAACGAAAGTAGTTGTGAAATCCATTGAAGTAAAATATGTGATAAAAATATCAGAAAAGTTAAATAAAAAAAAAATATTTACCACTTAACTGTACAATTATAAATACAATATGTTAAGACTATACGGACCTACAGTCAGTGCTCGAAGTGGGGGGGGGGGGGGTACGGAGGGATGGTATCCCTCTACTTTTTTGTATTTACAGTTTTCATCCCTTTACATGTTTTGTCTAGAATAACGCATTCCTCCTAAGACTTGTATTTTAAAATAATATACTTATTATCATTTTTATATTTATATATAAGAAATTATTTTTTCGGTGAAAATAATTGTTTTTAACATTCAGGCCCGGGCGCTCGGCTTATCGGGTAGTTTAATATAAATCGTTTCGCAACCCGTATTATACCCATATTTAGAGTTATTGACTAAGATAATATACCTTATGTGAACTATATAAAAAAAAAATATATATTGTAGGTACACAAGGTTTGAAGAATGTTATGATATCAGGAAATTTGAATTGTAAGGCATCCCTCCACTTATCTTGAGCCATTTCGACCACTGCCTACAGTATATTATACAACTATATAAGTAGGGGTATAATAAATCATTAGAGTATTTTGTATACTTTGTAATTCAAACTTTTTTTTAAATATTTCTTACAATGCAAATTGTATATTAAAATGCATTTATATGTATAGAACAAACTTTTCTGGTTCATTCTAAGTCAGTGATGGTGTGATGCGGGTTTTAGTGAAGCGACTGCTTCATGGCTAAATGTGATGGGTAGTGATGCCCTAATGTGATGGGTAGATAGTGCTGTGTAGCAGCAAAGTTTAATACTTCATTTTCACATTTGACATAAAATATTATTTTATATGGACCCATTAATTTTAATATTTACTCTGAATCTAAAATTTTGACTTATGATGGGTACTCGATACACGTAACTGGCTCACTAAAAAATACATATATTAGGAAATAAAAATGTTCTGCTGTCTTATTAATCAATAAAAATCAAGTTATCTCTATAAAAAGGGGAGGAATACTGGAAATTATGGAAAATAAATTAACATTAAATTTATAAATAATATGTTTTAATTCAAGGAGTAAAAAAAAAAAAAATTAATAATTGATCAATTATTACTACATTTTAAATAATTTATAGTTAAGTTGATTCCGGTGATATACAGTACGTAAAAATACACAAGTACTTTTGGTCATGCATAGACCTCCGACCCTACTTTTATCCAACAGACTAGTATTACATAGGTATACAAGCATTGCACTATTAATATAATTGTCTTCTCGGTGCGTTTAAAACTATTTCAATAACAATAAACCGTATCGACATTTTTAAAGACATTGAGAATGAATAGAAGGCACACGATGACCTTAACCTGTATAATATGAACAATAAAAACAGTGAAAACTGTAATAATACAATGGTAGGTGGGTACACAATTATACATCTTTCAAAAGTTGTCGTTAAAAATGTATCAATATATGTATTTTATTCTGTTTGATGACTGCAGTCGTTTGACTAACGTGAACTGTGTCGTAACACATTAACAATCTAAAAAAAAGTATACAATTATTACTGCAGTGACCACTGAAGTAAAATAGCATAATATTATTGTAATCTATAATACATACTAAACTGGCATAATTATAAGTACGTATCTATTTATTTATTTTTCTGTATGCAAGTAGTTTTTTATTTGAAATTTTTTTATTGTTATTTAGGTATTTAATTATAACGATTGCCATAGTCCAATAAAATTTATATATTATTTTATTAAATTTAAATAATTTTTATATAAATTAGATATATTTTTCAGCTCTGAATATTATATAGATTTAAAATTCGAGGTAGACTACATAACTGATAAGGTTTTTGAACTAAAACCGGTTCTACAATTAAGAAATTTGTATGTAAATATATGTACATGTCTGGTAAAAATGTACTAAATTTCATATAATGACTAAATGAACTTGTAAAAGTTGCAATATAATCTTCAACATAACATAAATATTTCATATGCGATGATTAACCAGTTCGTAAGTAAATTTACAATAAATTGTTTTAAATTTAAAAAAAAAATCATAACATTTAAATATGTCTCGACCATAGCAATCAAATAATATTAAGTATATGGTAAAGATTGTATGAATATAATAAGGGCGTTTTGGTATTAATCAAAAAACATAAATTATTATTTTGACCATCATCATAAAATATTATAAGAAGCAAATACAAAGTATTTGTTTTTGAAATGAATGAGTAAATATGTAGTAACTATTATATCACTGTTATAATATTTTGATAGTTTACATGGAATAATACTTGGATTATATTATTGATATTAACAAAGTATACACTATTTTTGAGCGTTGAACTTAATTGCATGGACATATAATCATTATGTACATGCGCTGCTGTGAAACGAGTAAAAGGTCGATAATAAAATTAGTATCTAAATGGTAGCCACTTGTTTAGCAACTCATCAGCAAAATCATGGCAAAAATCGTAGTGTTGTTCCTAGCTCATCATAGGGTATTTTGATGAACAGTAATAATTGCCGAGTATTATTACTGTTAACAATAACTAAACATTTTATTTTAGTAGATATGCATGTAACTAATATTGAAATGAAGTAATAACACAACTATCATTGTTTGTTTAAATAAATTATATGTATGCCTCATCGTTTTATTTCATGGCGACGATGTATTATTATTGTAAACGAAATTATTTTATATAGATTTTACAAATAGTTATTATAGTTTTTTTAATTCCAAACATGTAAGTTTTATGTTATATAGAAAATTATTCATACCAAAAGAAATTTTTAATAATAAAATATTGATTCGACAACTGTAATGGACGGATTTGATAAGAAAAACTATACAATTGTAACGAGCATTCCTAATAATATATTAAATATTTACTGTCGGTGTATATTTTTTTGTTAAGCGATTATACTATTTTGCTATACTAGCAAAAGGACTATATTTTTAAAGTATACATATTATTTCTATATTTAGACACTTTATATATTATAGAGGAAAAGAGAAAGAGAGAAATAGTTATTTTATGAGCCGAAGAACGGAAAATGTTTTTTTTGACTACAAACAAATAGTAATTGAGACTTCTATGTACCTAGATTTAGAATTCAATTACTTTTTTCCCCACTTTCAGTTATTAAGACTCGGAAGATCTATACAACCATAATAGATATACTATTTTATGTATACTAGTGCATACTTAGAAATTTTTTTTAATTTTGTAATCATTCTAATTTCAGTCAACTTAATTAAAAACCCATATCTATTACATTTCAGTTGGCTGTTGAATACAGCTTCATTATTTGATCAATATCACATTCGAATAAATTTATCTTTTGGAATATTAAAACGATCATCGTTTTAAAAAACAGTGGCTAATAGATTAACTTAAATCGCATTTAAAATTGTTATTGAATGTAATACGTCATAAAGAGTAGTATAATTAAAAATAAATTAAAATATTTTTATGCCGTGTACATTATTTGTAGAATTGTGAAATCGTAAACAATTGACATATTTATTATTTTCTTTTGAGGACGACAAAATGTATTATTGATCAATTAAATTAAGCTGATAAACTGAAAATGCATTGTATTCGGTTTAATTATAAGTATAATGACTTGTTATGGTTAGGAGTGGGAACGTTGAAGGTATATTATTTTTGAATTTTTTTTTCAATAATAAATTATCACGTTCATTTTGATAGCTAAAATTATTATAGTAACATTAAGAATATGACAAACTGCTTTAAACAAAGGTTGAATAATACTATAATGACCAATGGTTAATATTATACTCTTATAATTTTAAAGTAATAAAAATACATTATTATAAATGTATATAAAATAATCGCATTTGATGAGTTATTCGACTAGGAAAATAAAAATAATTATTTTATGAAAATATGTAAAAATATTATATCGCTGTATGCAGTAGTATATTTGGTTTTTACCGGTTGTATTTTGATTCTATTTGTTTCCATTTATATCGATAAATGCTATAGATCGTCTTAAACTTTTAAATTTAAGTACATCAGAATTTAAGCTCATATTTAGATATAATTATTATTATAGAATAATATATTACAATTCGTACAATAGTACGAAGTCAAACTATCATAAAGTCAGACTACACAATAAAATGCAGGAATGAATAACGATACAAAATATATTGTTATTGCACATATTTGTAGGTAGTAATCCTGTTCCTATTTATACTTCATCCCAAATATAATATTATCCCCCTTAGGTCCCGAAATGCTAAAATATTACTTATTAATTATAATAGTATTAATGATACACCCGTAATACGATAATACGAAATCATTTTTACGTGATTCTATACATGTTACAAATTGTAAAGATCCCGTCTAAATTGTTACAGCATAGAACCGTACTGATCCAAATTAGGGAAAATAATCAGTCCAATTCAAACCCTAACTGGGCTTTAAGTTTTTAAATGGAATCAGAGCATTGAAATCATTCGTATTTTAATTGTCGATGTAAATATGAAAACATTCAATATAAATATACATTATACAGTAGCTCATGTCATGTGGAATTAACCAAGGGGAACAGAAATTAGTTTGAGATATCAAAAAATTCCAGAAATTCAGTTTTATAAAAATTGAAATAAAAATGTAATAATTTTTCAAATTTATATTAAATAAATATTAACATTAAATCGTTATCAAGTAATTAAGGTGGTTGGTATAAAATCAAATCAATTGGTAAATTGGTATAAATCAATATATAAAAATATATACAACTATGTATAGCAGAAGTGGGAAACTCAAAGTAACTAGAGGGTCAATTTTTAGAACTTTAAAATCTGATGGATCATAGTAAAGAAAACAAAAATAAAAATGATTCATTAAAATTGACAATTGGAATTTATTTTCATTAATTTAGTTTTACGACTTAACCAATATAATAAAATAAGTGCCTAATACCTACAGAAAAGTTAGCTATGCCGATATGGATATAAATTAGGTATATTTAGAAGTTTGATGATTTAGCTGGAATTTAATGTTAGAGAAAAATATATTTTCATTTTACGACCAGTGTGAAAAGTTCGATACTAATAACCGTTAAAATGTAATAGTGATTTGAAAATGTATGCCAAATAAAAAAAATTAGGGAGCCGAATGTGCCCTGATATTTGCCCATCCCTGATGTATAGTAAAGTATCTATTTCTAGCTACTTATTTTTCTAATTTAATCAATATAATAACAACCAATATTTTGTTTAGTGAGTATGGTTGTGCGAATAAATAAATAATTGATAACGAAGAATATTCAATAATTTTAATTTTAATATTTATCAAGTTTTAATTTACTATGTATTCAGGAGCCTCGCAATACCTCGGGATGGCACTGTCTATGATATATAATAATACGTTTTGTTTTATATTGTTATTTACGTATAGCAGTAAAACGTGTGTTGAGTGTATAAAATGTTATACTCATCATTATGTTTACATATGGTATGTTTGAATGAACTATCCAAAATTATCCGGAATTATAAGTGTGAATCGATCAATTTTGTGATGGGTCTAGCAAATATTTGCAAACAATTTGCCAAAATTAGAGATTCAACTCGTAAATCGTAAAAATCTATTTGCAATTAAGTGCAATTAATTTAGAAAATATTGGCATAAGTTTCGAGTATATCGCTCAATTTGATGGCGTCGACTTCATGAACGTGTTGTTACTACAATAATAATAATTATTATTAAATTACCGGTGTCAATATTGTCTATTCGAGTTCAAAGTTCGATTTAACATCGTAGAACAACGATATGATTACTTGGGAATATATCGTGACGACGGTATTACCGAATTCTAAAATGAAATCATTGTCTACGTTACCTGCTAGCATTAATTCGTAATTAATTAAGTACCATTTCCCAAAATTGTAGACTGTGGCAATATGTTGTTTGTTTCGGTACGAGATACGATTGCTGTCAACTCGTGCCATAATTGGTTGCGGAATAACTTATTATGTTGTACAATAATAAAAACAAATCATAGGTATATTTTGTGACAAACATTGCGTGTTCGATAACGACCATTTTAACATTGACTTTAACCCAGCCTCACTCCCCCCATCGGTACGATATGCCCACGCACGAACGGCGATCACGGAACAATTAGTAGTGGTACAACCTCGGTAACCAGAGTGTGCGTTTCGTCTGAACCGCGGTGTTACCTAACGGTTCTGCTGATACGTAGATAACGTTTTTGTTAACTTACTTTGTACTCAGCTCCAGTTAGCACCTTGTATTATCACGGTTGTACGATATTACACTTTACTGCGTTGACACTCATATTGTGATCATCTAGGTTTTCAAAACGATTTCGACGACGAGGAATGACATTATGCTTGACCAGGAAAATCAGGTAAACCGTGTTGCTTATTTCGCTTACACAATGTTTGTTGCTATTATATGTTGTTTTTGTTAAATGCTGCGATGCCAAATAGGCCTAGGATTATGTCAAGCCCACTGTTGTAAGGTAAGGTAAAGGAGAAATTATGTTACGGCTGTAATATTGCAAAGCTTGTAAAAAGAAATATTTATGTATACACATAGCACAATAATAATAATAATAATAGTTATAATGTTATATTCGGAATGGTGTTGGGTTAAACTTGATGGTTTGTTGTTACGTCTCATCTATACTACAAGTGTTCATTTTTTGTTGACCCTATTGTACACAAGATTTTCAAACTTCTGTATTATGTTAACACAATGTTCACTTCGAGTGGGCATGCAGTAATGATGTGGCATAGGTGTAGTTACTGTACCTACTTGTTTATGTAGGTTGATACACTTTTACTTCTGATCACCCATGGGGAACATTATGAGTTATAGTTCTTATTAAAAATTCATTTTTTTTTTTGTGTTTAATGTTAGTTGCCAGTTAAAATTTATGTTAATTGAGTTTAAATTTATTTTCTAATTAAAATAATTGTTACTTAAATTGTATAGTGTATTATTATTTTATATCATGGTATGATTATAGCTGTATTATTTTACAATGATGGAACAGTATTTCATTTATCATAATTTCAATAATATTATATGTTATAAATATATTATATTTTGTGATTTTGCTTTATTAATTTAAAAAAATGTAAGACTTAATATTTGTTTTATTTATTTATTGTAGCCTAATATCTCAAATGGGACAGAATCATCAAACAGTTCATTTCAAGATAAGACAGTTGTAAAAAATGGTTATAATTATAATTTGCAGTTTATTTAATTAATTATTATTTATATTAACTTTTATTTATTTTAGATATTTCACACAATATTTACAATAATCAAGAGGGATATTTAAATGAAGTGTCCTTAAATAATTTTGATGTTTCTCAACTCGCTCATAAGTTAGAAAGTTTAGCTTTAGCTACTCCACAAACTACAAGAATTAGACCGGATAGTGCTCTTATTGAAGACGAATTTGATTTTAAAGAACGTCCAGATTCAGCTGATTCAGATAGCGGTAGACCTGTAACTTCAAATGACAGTTCCATTTACAGGTCATTTATTGGAGATTCTGTCGAAAATCAACAGTTGGACAGTTTAGACTTTTCTTCGACTTTATGTAATGACGACATAAATGAGTCTGGTGGTAACATTGAATCTATGCATGAAAGTTTAGCTTCAGTGAATTTGGATTTGGTTAGTTTTGATTTTGAGGATTCTTCACATAATATAACTGTACAATCTGTCTCAAATAAATCTTCAGAAGATATCCAAAATATATCAAATAATTCTAATTTAAATTCAAACAATTCAACACCTAAACAAATAAATTCACTGATGGATGGTATAGAATCAGAAACAAAATGTCAGGTAAAATATATGTTTTTACATTTTAATAAAATAATAAATAATAAGTACTAGAGTATTGGCTGACGTCCATCTATATTTTCTTTTCTTTAGTCCTGGTATGGCACAATGTTTATTCGTAGTTACTACTTAATATTATGGTTAAGCTTTGTCCAGCATCTTTAATTCAGGAAATTAATGTACACTCAGAATATAAGCAAAAAAAATAATGTTTATAATTAACTAATCATAAATGCTTATACCTAAAATAAAATTCTTATTTAATTTGAAATTAATAATTACTAGGGAACAGATTTATATGCACAAAAGATATTCAAAATATGCTTCCAAAAATGCTATAATATGCTACAAAATATGCACTTATAATAATTATAATATTATAATTATTATTATATTATTATTTAATTATTAAATCGAAAATATATACTTTTTTTAAATTATGTAAAAATTTCACAAATATTATAATATAAAATTGAACTATTGGTTTTAAAAATATCTTTATTTTTATTTACGTATATTTGTAAACGAATAATTAGTATTTTTACTTGAGGCATTTTTAACTTACGAACAAATAATAAAAAAAAACCCTAGACATTAAAACTGCAACAGTTTTATAAGTAAATACATACGCACAAATGCATGCATTAACTGATTGGTTTCTGTAATTCTGTCAAGTTCAAGTGTTCAACTCAATCATATGAATTTATCTATATTAATATAATTTGTGTATATATTTACGTTGCATACGAGTATGTTATTTTATTTTTAGCTATAACGACCGGTCTTCATTTTATCTATAATTTGTGGCTGTAAATGTGTAAATATAAGGTAAAACAAATATATGTGTTATTAATAAAAATGTAGACTAAAAAACTACAAATATGTATGAAATATGCAAAACAGAGTGAAAATGTTGGAATATGCAAAATATGCAAAGTAAAATTAATGTTAATAAGAATGATCTAAATCAGGGACAATTTTCATTAGATTTCAAAAAAATTAACCCATTACATGTATGCATTTGCATATAAATATATTCCCTAATAATAACTTACATAATATATACTGTGTTTATTTATACATATATTTATTTTTATTTAATTAATAGTTGTAATGTTCAAATTAATTTAAATTTTTGCACAATATTATATTTTATTTAAACAAAATTTATTTTTGTATATATTTATATTCTTTGTTTTTTTTATTTATATAAACTATTCTCTAATTAATAATAATATAACTCACATATATAACATTAAATCTAAAAATTAAACAAATTGTTGGTAGTATTTGGTAGAACATATTTTGATTTTAAAAAAAAAAAAAAAAAACCAAACATTCAATTATACTGTTATACAATAATCTCAACTATATTTTTTAGAATCAATACATATATCAGATGATTAATTATATTTATAACTTATTTTTTTTAAAAACTGTCATAACTAGATAGTTATTATTTATTTTATTTATATAAATATAAATTTATATTAATTATAATTTATGTTGTTAGTTTCACTGAATAAAATATTATAAATAATTTAAATTTATATTACCTATGACTATTATATTAATTAAATAGTTTTATTTTAAATTATTGTTTATTTTAATTTTCAGTCAAATATTTATGAAAGTGAAAGTAAGAACTCAAGTGAAGCAGGACCAGTGATAGCTGAAGGTAAATATGTTTGTTAATTATTTAGATGATATAATTTAATGTAGGTTTATTTATTATTGAATAATATATTAATAATCCATACATTCAGAAATGACAAAAACATTTTAATTCAAAGATTATATTTTAATTTTATTCCACAGAATTTGTGATATTTTATCCATTCTGTATTTTTACTAAGCTAATAATTTTTAATGTTATTATTTGTGCATATGTATTGTTATTCAAATATAAATTGTTTGATAATACTACATTTTTCTTTTATAATTAATATAATAAAAATATTGTTGGACTAATTTTACTAAGTTTACTTATGAAAGTATTTTATTATTTATATTAAATAACATGCAAGCTTATTCGAAATAATATGTTTATATGTATATATATATATATATATATATATATATATATATTGTGCAATATCTAATTTATCAATAATGTATTTAATATAAATATTGCATGTTTCACTTTTACAGGTTTCACTTCATCTGCTGGATTTAATTTTGATAATCTAGAGGCCCTTGAATCTGTAAGATCAATGAACGATGAAGAATTTAGAAGGTTAACAATTGCCAGAAAATCTTTATATGTGGCATTCGATCCAATTGTAAATAAAGCTAATCAGGAATCAAATTCTCGGTGAGTATTATGTTATTTGAAATATGTACAAAAACCTAATATTCAGTTTTGATCTAATTAACAATTTAATAAATGTTAAATTTAAATCACTATTTCTTTTTTTGTAAAGTAGATTACATGAATTAATTCATGAGTTAATGATTTATTTTGGTTTAGGAATTTGTTAATAAATTATCCTTAGTATAATTTTTTATATTTTCCACTGTTAGATTTACATGGAATTTTTAAAATATTTTCCTTAAAAATTGTTTAAAAGTACCTATTTATTAATTTAATAAGATGGTCTTGAAAATTGGGATCATACTTAATATAAAATATTACATGTATATTATGTTGGTAAATAGTTCATTTTAAATTATCAAGTAGAGTTTTAGAAAATTTTTAATTAAAAATATATTTATATTTAACAATTATAATTTTTTTAGTATTCTAATAAAAAATAATTATATTTGAGATTTCAATTTCATCTTATTGAATATTTTAATATTATTTATATCAGTATATTTATAAATTTAATTAATAATAATTATTTGTTATATGACTTATATTTGTCACAGAAAAGAAGCTCTTGAAAACACAAAAATTATGGACAAAACATTATCAGCTAATTCTTCGCAATCCGGCGGATCTAACAAATCTATGAATGTACGTAATATATTTCAAAAATGTATTGATTTAATCTCAAATTATTAAGAATATTTAGTATTCAATAATGTGTTTTTTATCATTACTCTAATACAGATTTAATATGATTAGATTTCAGATTCTAAAATTAATCAATCCATTACCAAAGATGAAAAACTTGATAACAGTCCTAAGACTAATGACATAGAAAAATTTTATCAGGTATGTAGTTATTTATCTTTTTATGAAAAATGGACCGTTAAGTATTTAGATATCTTTTAAGGCCCCTGCAAACCCTATTAATTTTTCATCAAAACGACCTTAGTGACTGACAAAAATTAAAGTACTTCTAGTGGTTCGATTTAAAAAATGTAAAGATGTTTGAATTGGTCAATAAGTCTACTTTGCATCGGTCGGAGCATATTTTTTATATTTTAGATATTTTTTAATATATTCAATATTAAAAATGTACAAATTTTTTAAAATGTAAAATATTTATTCTCGTCAAGCATTTGTTAAAATTGAAAAAGTGCTCCGACCGATGCAAAGTAAACTTGTTTACCAACTCAAACATCTTTACATTTTTTAAATCGAACCAATAGAAGTACCTTAATTTTTGTCAGTGCGACAGCTATTTTACGTTCATAAATTGGTTTTGAATATTTTAATTTAATAGCTTAAAGTGACATGTGCATGTGCGTGCGTGCGGCGTGCCGCGTGCGTAATATATTTAGCCGACCGGTGGGCGGCGACCACTACACTTATCGTTTTCGTTATCAGTATTTCTACGAATGACGATAAATTATTGACAAAAATACTAAATATGTTGGTAGATTACGGATTATACGATGAGCATAAACATTATTTTGTTTTATTTTATGATCGTTGCCCTGAGTATACGGAAATGTTGTAATTTTCAGTTGCTTTTAGGAATAGCATATACTTCATCTTAATTTTTAATACTGTATTTCAAATTAAAAATGAATAAAAAAAAATTATCTTGGTAAAAAGTTCAGGCCATATTTAAGTAAAAGAAAAAAAAATAAAGGCAATATATTAGCGTTGAGAAAAGAAAATGTACCTAAAAAGGGTAAGTTGATTTAAATTATTAGTGATTTTTAATTTTGTATTTTGGTGACTATGATATTTTTCATAGGATAATAATATAACTAACTTAGATACTTCTCCGCGCAAAATGTTGCCTACAACTAGTTGTACTGACGCTGCAGTTGGTCGTGATAACATGTAAATGAATATATTTAGTACCTATAGTTATATATATATATGAAATACTTTTTTATTTGAAAGATTTATTTTATGTAATTTCTATGCCATTAATTCATCATTACAAATGTAATAAGCCAAAAGAAAAAAAGTGAAATTAAATATGGAAAAAATAATAATAGAGATTGGATTGAATAACTATTACTCTTGATTACCATCCTTGTTTAAGAGAGAACATTCAGTATTTCAAAAATTTGAGCAATGATCTGTGTATTTCAGTCATAGAAGTTAAATGAAATACTACTTAGTTCATCGCCAATCTTTGAGTGTCGATGAGCCAGACACTTATTATTGCAGCAAGAATAGTATGGAATTGAAATTAAGTAAATCAGATACAGAATTGAATTAGCTGATGCTGGATACATTTTTATTCTTATTCAGAAAACGCAAATTGTAAAAGTGAGATGAAATATTTGCTGATGACTTGTAACCGAGAGTGAGAATAAAAGGCTTATGTTGAATAAGGATGTTTAGAAGGATGGTCCTTGAATTAGTCTTTTAAGGGTTGACCTACTTGGGATGTATTCAATAGTGTATCACTGGTTTAGGCCTTTATTTTTTAAATTATGTTATTTATGCGCATGTCGAAAGAATCGTTATTTATTGATTTATAACTTAGTTGTTGTTAAGATGTTTGTCACATGGTTGAAGAATGCACATCATTATACAGATCTAATTTAATTGTAATTTTTATAAATAGGAAAAAATAGAAAAGCTAGAATGTGAGAATAAGAACCTAAGAAATGATGCAATGGCAGAAAAAGAAAAAAATAAAAATTTGACAAATTCATTGATATCAGTAACAAAAAGCAAAGATCAGTTAAGGTATATATAATTTTATTATACAATTGTTTTATGTATTAAAAATGTATTAATCATAATAATAATAGAACCTAATGTTATTCATTTTTTAAATCCAGTACTGTTATTGGTGAGTATGAAAAAACTATTTCTGATATGGTTGCAAAAAAAGAAGATGTACACAAAGAATATGAAGCACGAATTGAATACATTGAAGATGAAAGAGCAAAAATGGAACGTCACCTACAAAATTCAGAAATGGCATTCAATGATGTTCATGAGTAAGATAAATTTGTATTGATTTTGATACTTACATCTTGAAACATATTTTATGTTGTTTTCTAATACTAACCTTGAACTAATGATTATTTGTAAAAAATATAAATTTGAATATTTATTTTTATCAACCTGGAAAATGTGGAATTGTAATTAAGATTGGTTGAAATACTCAAATGAATAAAAAAAATTTTCTTCAAACTATAATAAAAATTTAATACAAATTTTAAATACAAAATGTTCTTAATTAGACAGTTAAAGTTATATGGAAATTATGTACTTAATTATTATTATTATTATTATTTAATAGAAAATATAACTCATCAAAGCAAGTTATAGAGGCAATGAAAGAAAATGAAATCAAGTATAAAAATTGTATTAGGGAATTTGAAGAATCTCTTAAAAAATATGAAGACAAATATATGAGATTGAAATTACATGCTACTGAACAAATGAATAAGTAATTTATTTTATTTTGAAGTTATTAAAATAATAATTGTTATTATTGTACTATTTTAGAGCTACCGAGGAAATAAATGACAAAGAAAAGTCTTTTGAAGCAGAAACTTCAAAAATGAGGATAATGATTAAGCGGCTGGAGGTTAAAGTAAGATCATTACAAGAATCTTTGGAGAGGAAAGATGTTGAAAATGCAGAGTTAACTAATCTTTGTGATGAGCTTATAGGAAAACTGGATAGAAAATGAAACATAATGTAGCATACTTAATTTATTTTTAGGCCTATGAATCTTATATAGTACTTTATGATTATATTAATTGAATTATTAATTATCTCTTATAATTTGCTAATAAAAATAAATATATTTATACTAAAAATAATAAATATATTTAAACAGATATAAGCAAAATGTAAATCAGATGTTAATGAATTATGATTAATTATAAATTTACATTTTATGTACCTGTTAAATCTAATTTTCAAATTTATTATTTGTACTATTACTATGTCTTCTTTTGGAATTATTTTTATGTTTTAAATGTAGGAGGATTTCAATGAAATTAAATTATTAGACAAAATGTCTTTTGTTTTAAATGTGTATACAGAATTATTTAAGTAGTAGATATAAGTTTTGATAGAATTTTTATCTATGCTGTGTTTTCTATATATATATATATTTTTTTTTTCTAATAAATCCTCCTATAATTTATAATTTATGAATTAGTAATCAATTAAGCATTAAATTGAAATAAAACAGGAATAATTTGATGTCATGATCCTAAATTCTTGTATTTGTTTTTAAAATAATTATAATTCTTAAATATTTTAAAAATGATCTATTTTTATAGATATTAATACATTTTTTTTTTTAATTACATAAATTTTTTACTTTAGCATGATTATCAAAAATGCTAAAAATCCCAAAATATTTTTATTGTTTTCATTCAATTTTTTTAACATTAATTAATATGCTTATTAATTTTATTTTCTATTTATTTACTTTTATTAATAGTGCATAAAGTATTATAATATTTTAATTTTACTTTAAAATTATACATTGTTTTAACTTTATTTTATAAAATATTATATTTTTAACCATTATTTAATCCCATCCTAATATGTTTTAAAATGTAAACTACCTAATGGGTTGTATTTTTCTAAAAGTTAATACATTATCAACGCACATAAATGTTATTATTTTATTTTTTTAATCTAGTATTATGTTTTTGTATTATGTAGCAAAATAAATTTGAATAATACTAACAAAATCAAAATTTGATTATAAATTGAATGTTTATTACCAACCATATTTTTATGTGTTATATAAAAATAAAAAAAATAACAATTTAATTTTAAACTATTGAGTCTTACACTATAATGAATGATGTAAACGCATAGTGAACAGTAAAATCTATTATGTGAAATAGTGTTGTCAATTTCATTTTAACTTCGGTACAATAAGAAATTCAAACATACTTGTTACAGAACTAGTTAACCTAACAAATTCATCATACACTATGCAGTAATATAGCTCCTTATCACTCTTGAGTTTACTGCTGGAAATTAAATGTGCACTAAATAAAGAATCAATATGTATTGTAATCGCAAATTTGGGTCAAAGTTAAAACTGACATGTCTGATGACCTACATAATTATCACTAACGTCAAATAAAATTATACCTAATGATGGTCATACAATAATCCTTGTACACAAATGTATTGGAAAACTTGAGATGATTAACTGTATTCTATTTTATTTTATTAAAAACAAATCATTAAGCATTTCATTTTTGATAGTGCACCAGAACTTTTGAAGTTCTTTAGATATACTGTTTAGAATTATTTAATTTTAGTATAGAATTAACTAATATTTTAATGATATTGTTGGAAAAAATGTCTAACCTTCGAGGGCCATAATATTATTACATTAAATTAAGAGGGTCCATTACAAAAATATTTTAAGTAATTTTTACTAGGTGGCACTTCAATAAAATTGTCAACCATTGTAACCATCATGGATAATCTATGATTATCTATTCGTAACATAGTTTATAGACGTGGTGTTTTTCCGCAAAGAAACATACAGGGAAAATCAACTCCTGTCACTACGGTCGTTATGTGAATTTGTTGGTTAGTGCACGATCGGGGGTGACCCCAGTGGGGGGTCATTGGGTAGCATTCAATTATCGATGGGGGGCACTTAGCACTTTTTAGTGTTACGTACTTAGTATGTTAAAATATGCTCTGATTCCTACCTAACAGTTTTGGAATAACTTGTTACTTCAGTATTGTGTGTTGTTACCGTTGATGCCTGTTATCAGTTAAAATTTTTTTGATATATTTTCAAAAACTGTTAATCGAGGCACTGAGAATTAAGACATTGAAAACAATCGGTTTGACAAATGTCTGTATATAAAATAAGGTCTGTACCGTGATATAATAAATTTATGGTCTATACTGACATTCTTAAGTCCAAAGGACTTCAGAATTTACAATGATATTTTGCTATTGTTCCCAATGTGAAATTCGTTTTTTTGATTCGTCGCAATAGAATCGAAAACTTATCTGTTTTAAATTGTTAATTGAATAATGATATAAATAGTAATACTTGCTATTTGGTATAGTTATTATAGTTGATAAGAACAATCGGTAAGTTGGATATTATGATGTCAATATGTTTGGTGTATACTGTGCTACAAGATTATTAAATTAAGATTAACTATTAAAACAATAATCTGTACCTAACATATGATATACATACTATGTTCTTTTCAGTCAATTGTAATCTAGTCATACGCACTCCTCGTTCTTTGTCTTTGGGAATATTGTAAGTTAACAACAAACTTTTACTTCAAAAATAAACCAATGTACATATTATGTAAATCTTATTATGTTTTTAATTAGGTACCATGGTTTTCATTGGTGAATTTATTGTGTCGACCGAGCGTTCTGACAAAAGGCTTATTGGCATGAAGAAATATGTGATAAATATTTTCAGAGAGTGTGTAAAGTCAGTGTTGCCTAGAAATATTATTAAAAATACATTAAAATTTGATTCAAAAACATTGTATGTAAAGGACACTAAGTTTTTTGTACCAAAAAACATTTATGTTGTTGGTTTTGGAAAAGCGGTTTTGGAAATGGCATTAGAAGTCGAAAAAGTATTGAATGGCACCCTGAAGAAGGCTGTAGTAAGTGTTCCGTTTGGTACCCGACGACATATAAACCATTCGCAAGTATGTATTATGGAAGCTGCTCATAATAACATACCCGATCAACATTCAGTGGAAAACACAAATTGCATTATAAATACAATAAAGAGTATGGAGGATGATGATATATTGATTGTATTAATATCTGGAGGAGGTTCAGCTTTGCTGTGTTCGCCAACTGTCCCTCTTTCTGACAAAATTATAACGACCAAATTGTTGTCATCGCATAGTGCTACTATTGAACAGTTGAACACTGTGAGAAAAGCACTATCTCATGTAAAAGGAGGGAAATTAATCAATTTGGTTAAAAAATCAACTGTAATTTCTCTAATTCTATCGGATATTGTTGGTGACCCTTTAAGTGCAATCGCCAGTGGACCTACAATACCTAACAACGACTCACATGATCTACCAATTGAGATCATCAAGCATTTTAATTTATTGGATAAAATACCATCGACTGTATTAAATGCTCTTGAACAAAATAAACCTTTTAACTGTCTTAATGTTGAAAGAGTCCATAACTATGTCATAGGCAACAATTCAGTTGCTTTACAAACAGGCATAGAGTATACCCAAAAAGACTATACATCTGTATTATTAACAAAATCTCTTCAAGGAAAAGTAGCTCTGGTATCAAAGTTTTATTCTAATCTTATAATATTTGTCTGTCATGTGTATTTGGATCCTAAAAATATTAACGAGGCATTAAAAAATGAATTGATATTAAATATCAGCAAAGTGGATAAAGAAATAGATATTGATATGTTGACTCGTAAAGTTATCGAAGCATCATCAAATAAAAGTGGCCTATGTATATTAAGTGGTGGTGAGCCTACGGTCAAGGTTCAAGGTATTGGTTTGGGAGGAAGAAATCAAGAATTAGCATTGAGAATATCTGTAAATATAGAACGACATAGTGCCTTTTTGAAACAATTTGATATTTTATTCTTCAGTGGTGGTACAGATGGCATTGATGGACCAACAGATGCTTGTGGTGCATTTGCTTATCCAGGACTTGTGGATACTGCTCGGTTCCAAGGCTTGAACCCTTCACAGTTTATTGAGAATAATGACAGTTATGGATTTTATTCATTATACAATGAGGGTGAAGATCTATTTAAAATTGGACATACTGGTACAAACGTTATGGATTTACATGTCTTAATAATCAAGCCAAATTGAAAATTCTGTAAAAATAATTTGCCTTAAATTATAAAAATGTAAAGTTTATTTATACTTATGCACAGTTCCATCTTTATCATATGGACACATGCCCAGGGCTCCCATCTGGCTGGAGGTTCCGAATAACAGAAATTACGACTTTGAATTTTAATCTATAACATATTTATACTACTGCTTATAAAAAAAATAATTCTTAATTGTAGAAAAAAAATTATAGATAAATAGCATAGTTAAAATGTTAATGTAAAAAAAATAATGAATGCACAATTGTGTGTAATTGTATTAGGTATATATTATTTTTCATCCCATTATTTAAAAAGATTATTCTATAAAATTAATAACATATCTTCCAGCTACACAAAAGTATTCATTCAAAATAAGCTTTTGATGTTTTTACTCACGTTTTTTTGGTTTTCTTAAAGACCCCTATGCTTCAGGTGTCCAGGGGCGGCTCCAGGGGAACCCTAGGGTCCGTGCCCCCAAGCCCGTACCGTTTTTATAAAAAAATGTATATTGTTAATAAAAATACATATTATAATATGGACTATTATATGACACTTACAACTATGTAGATAAAGCCATAGAGGTATGACAGTGTATACGATGTACTTGCTGTCTACCTATATTATGAACAACCAATAAGGCTATAAATAAACTATATTAATATAAAATTTACTATGGTATGATACTATGATATTATTTTATAATATTCACAACATGAATTGCGTAGCATACATTTTTGTACGGACTAAATTGTCATTTTCTTTTTGTTTTAAGATTTGGTAAAATTATAACTTAGCCCCCCCTAACCAAGGCTCTGTAGCCACCCCTGCAAAGCCTAAGACGGCCTTGCTTATGCATTCTGTTATTGAAGAATACAGTCGGTAAAATGATAAAAAAATATTAAAACTCCTTTTTCTTATCAGATATTATTTTTACAACGATAAGAATATTATCAATTCTCATGTGTTTTGTGAAATTAAAATTAATTTTCAATATTATATTCATTTTGTCAAATTTTTTAATTATTGTTTTAATATAGATTCTTTGTGTATTTTATTTTATCTATAGTAAGTTTGTTGCACAAATTAAATGTTTTATGAGCTGTGAGTAATATGTTCTTTTCATTTTTTTTAAAGCATATATTTTATTTGGGGAAAAAACGTTTACTTAATGGCTGATGAAAATATAGAAAATCAAAATTCTGGCGAAACACCATCAAAGTCTGATGACTATGATGGATGGGGATTTGATTTATTTCCTGAGAGAAGAGGTACATTTAAACCAACTATAAAAAACATTTTATTTCAAGGACGAGGAAATGAAAATGTGGAAAGAATGAAATGTGAAAATAAAGTAGCATACTGTTTAAATAAAAGTATAACTTATATATAATATATTATTTTTATTAAATCGAATTATAAATTGTATTCTTTATTTATGATTTATATTTAATAGGTCCTTTAGTTAAAATCATGTTGGGTGCTTTAAAAAGAAATGGTTGGTAAGTTTTAATTTTTATTAATATAAATTAACATTGACTTATAGTGACAAACATTCTATGGGTTCTTAAATCTTCAACATTAATTTTCTATATAATACAACTTTAGTAAATTTATTTATAGTATGACATTTTATCATTTGTCATTTTTTAACAAAAAATTATTTTATTGATTAATATTGCAAAGTATCCAAAATTAATGTGGGTACTTAAATTCATTGATTTTTATATTTTTTAAAATTTTAATATTGTAATATAATTATTATAAATTATTTGTTACATGATGAATAAAATAATCGTAATTTGCATCAAACCTTTTTGATATTTTTTTAGTGAAGTCAACCCATTCCGTCATATTGCATGTGAATTTTGTGATACCAGCGTCCATGGTGGTTATGATCCTATTATGAATCAAGTAATGTTTTTTTAGTGTTAAAATCTTAAATGGGATTTTTATTTTTGTTTTTGGTATAATTAGGTTGTAATATGTCAAAATACAGCTGTATCAAAAGGTACTATACAAGGAGTGCTTACACATGAACTTATACATATGTTTGACAATTGTACTCGTAAATTGGACTTCAGGAACATTGAGCATTTAGCTTGTACTGAAATTCGAGCTGCAAACTTAACTCATTGTGGACTTGTCTCTTCTATGCTTGAAGGACATTCATCACTGTTTAATTTTAAAAAAAAACATCAAGTAAGACTTTTTGATCACCACTAATTTATAATTAATTAAAACTGATAAAAAAATTCAGTTTTTATAGGATATTATATGATACCCATTCATAAATTAATATGTAAATTTAATGGCCTTAAAAAAATTGAAATCATTCAAAAAGTAATTTTAAAACGATACTAATTATTAATAAATTTTAAAAAAATATTTTTAATTTTTTCTTATGTATAACTTATTGTAATTTACTTTACTAATGTAATTTATTTTATAAATCTAATGTTTCATAAAGTTTTTCATATTTAAATAGGTTTTTTACCTATACCTATAATATGTTGTATGATTTTTTGGCATTTAAATCTTATCATAAAGGTTAGGTTAATTAAAATATTTTTATGCATTTAATTTTTTTTTTAATTTTTAAGATTTTTTGTACATAACATTATTAGATAAATTTGAAAAAAAAATTAATGAAAGTCAATGTTATCTAATTATATTAATTTTTTAATTTCATTAAAATATTAGTTATGTTAGTAAAACACAATTTCCATGCTTTAATCAAATTTTAATAGTATATTAATAATGTTGTTAGACGTTGGCTTGATTATCACATTTCAAGATGATAGTTGGTTATGGGAAATCTTGTACTTTAGCCACCTAGGTCCCCTAACTCCAAAACAACTCTTCGTTCCAATCAAGATTTGTGCAATTCTTTAAACTTACTAAATATAATAATATCTGTAGGACATTAAAGAATATCTGTTAAATGCTTAAAAATCATAAAAATCATAACATTTAAAGTAAAAGTTTGGTTTTTTAACTATTTTTAATTAAAATAAATTATGAAAGTTTTAAAATAAAATATGTTAATATGGTAAAATAATATGTTTTATACTCAAAAGGTATGTCTTAACATTCAAAACCTGTATAAATGTTTAATTTTTTTTAAATCTACATTTTACGAAAAACTAATGTAATTTTATGGTCTATTATAAATTAATAATAATTCATATTTGTGCATTAATATTATAATAATCCAAATCCAAAAAAGTTGATTTATTTTGGTTGTACATTAAAATGTTAAACTATTTATTTTATGTAATGAGTATATTATTATTTTTGTTCAGGACTGTGTAAAACATAAAGCCACTGTCTCTGTGTTGGCTGTTAGAGATGTTACTTTCGAACAAGCAAAAGAAGCCGTTGAAAATGTATTTGATCGATGTTATGCAGATTTAGAACCCATTGGGAGAAGGATCAAAGGAAGAAGAGTTGATTTTGATCTAGCATATGCGGAAGCTTTTTTGATGGGTTATGATTAGTTGTTATCTGTTTATTTTATAATATAGATAAAGAACAATTTGTAGGCGTATAAAAATATATTTGAAATATTATAATATTTGTCGCTAATTGTTTACCTATACAAATTTTCCTATATCCAGTTTTTTTTTTGAGTATAAGACTTCATTTTCTAAGTTTTAAAATAGTGTTATGTTTAATAAGAATCAATTAGACAATATTTATAAAGGCTTAAAATATAAGTAATTTAAAGTGTTTTCTAGCACTGTTATACTCACAGGTTAGAGATGTTTTAATAATATATATGATGCTAAATATTTTATAAAAGTTGTAGTTCAAGTGATAAAATAAATTAATAGTTAAGTGAAACATGAGAAATGAAAAAGCAAAAAGTTTCAAATTGAAAACACACAATATACATAGGTATAATACATTTTAACTTAAAAATATATCTTAAAGTTAATCTTAAAGTAACAAGATATAATTAAAAAAATGCCTGACGACATTATGAGACAATTTTTTCATTTTTATTAAATACACACAAAAAAAAAAAAAATAGGTAGAAAAAAATAATTATAAAAAAATAGATATAAAAATACAATTAATGGAATAGTATTTGTTATTGTATGGATTGTAGTACACACTGTGTATATATAATACGAAAGCACAATATTCTGTAAGAAAAACTTTAAAAAAGAAAGTACATAAAAATTATTAGCATTGATATTTCAGTTGGATTGAGTTATTAAGTTATAGTTGTCAATATATTATTATTATAATTAACTGTTTTAAAATGTTAGTAGAGTAGTTATCTATAATTATGTAAATATATTTATACATATTAATATGACCAAAAATTATATAAACGAATTAATGATAGTAATTATTATGGAATTAGTCGTACACAATTATTAAATATTAAGTGTATATCATTGTAAATTTATACGGATAAGAGTGTACAGAAACTCTTGAGGATTTAAAAAGCATTGACCCTGTTATTAAATTTTTGGAATTTTACGAAAATAAACTTAAAAATAAACTTAATACTTATGTTTATAAAGTATGTTTTGAACCTCCACTATAGAAGATATTTAGTTATTTAACAGTTGAAGCTTAATGAACTATGAATATGTAGTAGGTTTAAGTACCCCAATAATGGATAGGTATTTGATGGTTATGTTAATTCATACTGTAATGAGTATTTAACTTTCAGTCCAAAGTATTGTAGTTATGCCAATGCATTGAGTAAGTATCATTACATTTAAAATTGTACATTTTGAAAATATTATTAATTTATATTTTTTTTTTTCTAAGAATTTTCTAAAATATAATACTATATATTTGGTATTTTTTTTTTCTAAGCAGGATTGGTATTTTATTTTTGTAAATTCTTATGTAAGTAATAATGATAAAATATATAGGGGTTGTTTGTTCAGTTTGTTAAACTAGGGACCCCAGAAAAAGTTTGCGGCGGCACTGGTCGTAGAAACTATGAAAAATCATAACCGCCATACATTTCAAAAGTGAAGTAGGACGTAGGAAGGGTTTCGCTCCTTGTAACATGTTCTCTCCTTGACTATAATATTGCGAAATAAAACAATAAAAAAAAACTGAATGAATGGTTTTATATATACCCGTAAATCTAACAACAAAGTATTGAAATGAATCATAACTGTATAGTAAATCGTGAACACTATAAAGTAACTCTCATCGTTGTTATTGTACTTCATCGATTCAACTCATACAATCATTCGCCTCAAACGCATTTCAACGTGTAAATTATATTTGAACAATATTAACGTCGGAGACAAACAGTGTACGCACTTGCTTAGCATCGCCAGCCCCCTCACTCACCCCCAGGACACGATAGAATGTTTCTGATACTCAGGCCCAGTAGGTACTTATATTCGTGGTTTCAAAAACGTTAGCATAACAATCCTACCTAGTCCGAATCGGTCGCGATCGCACATAAACTATACTAGTGTACATCTGTGGTCGCAATAAATATTTGTCACGTCGCCGTATACAACGGTGTTACAAATTGTTTTATTCTATTTTTTTTTTTTTTTAGCGGAACAACGGTTTCCGATTTGCTTTCGGTTGTCACTAAAGTAAGGTTAGGTTGTGAGCATTAAGTCGGTTACCCGGTCAAGAGCGATCAGTTTTGACCGGGAACCGCGAAAGGGAAGCATGGTTCACCAATGAATCGCCAACGTATACCGACTGAAACGCTCGCCGGATAATGTTCATAGTACATTTTGTTACAGTTTCGCCGTCGACGGGATGTCCGCCCATAGCTACGCACTACATTATTAACATCGGTAATCGTGTACATCGCGCGCGTGTTCACGACGTGTCGGCGCGGCTCTTCAGACGTTGGCCGACAGCGATTTCCGTCTGGACTCGCCGATGTACGATATCCAGTAAACGACGGAGAACACCACGAAGCACAATGGGAACAGGGCCAACGACACCTGGTCCAGGGTGCCCCTCTGCGACCCGCAGTACAGTATGACGTGTTTGGTGAGCAGCTGGAATCGCAATTTGCCCGCTGCCGACGACGACGGGCACTGAGCTTTTGCCGTCTGCAGCACCGGAAACCCAACAAAAAGTATGATTCGCGTCGTTTAATTGCCCATTGTCGTTATTGTTCGCGCGCGACCGCGGTTCTCTTTCCGGCCGTCGGTAAGCCCGGAAACGACGGTAAGTAATCCCTAGGATAAGTTTCTCCAAGACAGGGTCGTACCCAAGGGGGGTTCAAATTATTTTAAGATGTAAAAAGTTTATTTTTATTGTTTTTAATTATAATTACTTATAAATTATTTAGAATTTGGTAGATGTTGCCAACCGAACAGGGGAGACCAATAAGGACGGAATATTGAAGGTGACCGGAAGACGTACCGCCAAATTTTGTTCGATATTTTATAATGTACATCAAGGCCGTAACTGGGGGGGTTCCAGGGATCCGGACCCCCTCTCCTCCCGAAATTTTCAAAAGTGGAAACATTTTAGCGGTGAATATAGTTTATTAACTATAAATTGTGTTAAATAATAATGTTAGACCCCCCCCCCCCCCGAAATTGTTTTCCAGTTACGGCCTTGATGTACATTATACCACGACGTAAAGGAGATATCTTCTCTACATCGTGCGTTATACGATATACGATATTAACCATATTATATAAATCAGTGGTTTGCACATTGAGAATTTTAAATTCTGTCAATAAATGGGGAGGGGGGAGTTCAGAACCGGAAACCTCTCCCTTGAGAACGTCTCTGCCAGGAGATATGGCCTCGTTTTACACTAAGAGAGAATGCGACGGTGTTACAAACATAAACCCGTCCGCCCTCATGAAATGTCCTCGACGACTTTACGCGGACGGGGCTCGTAAGTGACACATACGAGTATATGTTAAACTCGAGCTATATTAATAATGCGCGTTTTCCGAACAACTGTTGGTTTTTATAGGCTTTCGCACCCAATTCTGAAACCACAATCTACGGGGATCGGACTCCGTACTTTTCTCCTCACCTAATCCGACGTATTAAGTAACCAGGTTTTTTCTGACCCATGCGCGATCCGGCCCCGCGCCCACATGCGTTATCTTAAACATGGCGCACACACGATTTTCAAAGATGTTCATTGGATTTAACGGTACCAAATGGAACGCGAAAGTTTAAAAATCAAATCATTATAACATACATTCAGTCAAACGCGCTTTGCATTTGAACGATCCCTATACGAACGAAAACATAGTGCTGGGGACTAGGCCACTAAGGGAACTTCATAATTGGTTTTCTCGAATCCCGAGCAAAGTTTTTAGACTTACTTCTAGGGGAGGGGGGAGATTAAAATTTTTTCTTTAATTCAGGCTCAAAATTTACAAGTAAAATTGTTGATAATATGTAAATCAGGTGAATCGTTAATATTTTTGGTTTTATTTTTAATCTAATGCCGGTTAAAATCCATTTAGAATCGACTTTTGTGTAGTTCTTTTTTTTACACCTGTCTGTGTTTTCAAAGTTACACTTGTGTTTTATTTGATTTTTCACCAAGTATGAATCCGACAAATAGCTTAATTCAGTACTCATAGCCACGCGTAATTTGATCTCGTTATAAAATGACCCACATTAAAAAAATTTGTAGTGTGAATCCCACATATAATCGATTCCTTAAATACGGATTTAGGGGGGAGGCAATTTCCCCTCCTAAAATACGCCCCTAGTGTAATGCGGAGTAACTGGAATTGGGGGATGGGATTGGAATTGACCGTTGCAGAACCCCGGGAGCGCGTTGGCTTTCGCGCGCGTGAACACTGCACCCACCACATTCGCGTTGTCCGCGACGACCACGGTGTTGTTGTCAGATGCGGCGTGCACTTTGTTCGTCCCGAACAGCGTGGGTACGTTGAACGCGCCGGGCCTGGAAGGGCCGCTATCCACACCGCCCAAGCCCCGATCCAGATCGCCTTTCTTGTGCCGCCAGTGCTTGTCGTACCGCATGCCGAACAGCACGACGAAGTACTCGACTAGGGCCAGGAACACGAACAGTGTGCACGATATCAGCCACACCTCGATGCATTTCAGTTCCAGCGCGCTCGGCGAGTTGTTCCTGCGGTGGCAGTGCAAAAGCGTATTTATTTTTTTTAAAAATTTTTTGTTCTGTTCCGTATAAAAAAAAAAAATACACAACTTCAAGGTAACAGCAACGGTGCACACGATCACGCTACGTACAATACGAGGTACAGTGTACAATATTGTTGTTGTGCGGTGCAAACCCGCCCGAAAACTGTAACCGCTAAAACTGGAACTGTAACCAGACCGGAGACACTCGAGGATAACAACTATATTTTCGTATTATACGCATTTTAAAGCGTGATGTACACACATGCTAGACATAGGCGTGCGCACGGGGGATGCCGGGTGTGCCCGGGCACCTCCCTAAACGTTCTAAACGGGGCCCTACAATTTAAGTCTCAGGCTATAAAGGACTCTTATTTTAACTGATTAGGCTCAAAATAAATGTAATTTATTCTAAAACATTTGGTAAAAAGTAAACGGTGTTTCGCAACAGAAATAATAAAACAAAATTTCCTAAATTTTCGTGCAAAAACTATTTATGATAACAAAACAGTTATAATTGGCTGCAAAATTAGAACATGATTTAAGCTATCCAAGAAAAATATACGAGAAAACATGTTCGTTGGGACTAATATACCACAATATTCAATATAAAATTAAAGTTATGTTTATTTCATTATTTATACATTAAGATTTATTAAATATACTTCCGCGATTTGTTAAGATACGGCCCAAAAGTATTGTAGGCATCCCTTGACATACAGGTCTGTGCACGCCTATGATGATAGTTTTCATTGAGTGCATTTTTTACTAGTTAACTAGGCGACACAAATGTCGCCCAGTGATTATACTTTGTCGACAGTATTTTAAAATATTGGGCGAAATAATGCGAAACAAACGTGTAATACTATAATCGTACTATGGTACTATACATTGACTATTTTGAGAAAAACATTTTTTGTCGCCCAGTGAAAATTCCTTACAAAATGCACTGTTTTCGTCCGTATGAATATATACGTGTTAAAAGCACATATTGTGTACAGTGGGTAGGCGTACTAAATGTTGTTTAAAGGCGTCGAAAGTGTTGTGTATAGTTATACGAAGTATAGTTTTGTGTATAGTTTTCGAACGCGGTCGACACATATTTTTTTATGTCATTTTAACGATGTTTTCAAGCCGTGTTCGACAGCGGGTCGCGTATAATGTTGTTATTCGCCGTTGCGTGCGTTGGAAATAAATCGCTTTTTTTTCGTACGGAAAAATCTCGTTCCGCTTCCAAAAATTACATTTATTATTAATCTGCGCCGTTCTAAAATATTATAAACGCGTTTTTCGTTTTATAGATGTGCACATGCCATACGAGAATGCCGAGCACATAAATTAAACTGTTTCAGTCCGGTATAAACCTACACATGCTGCTTCGTACATTCCGCGTTTCCAGGGGCGGCGGGAAGAGTATTCTTGCCACCGGGCACGGCTAAGGGTGCGCGGGGCATCCGTCGCGCCGCAGAGCTATAGAATCGTCCCAACACCGTCGGTTTTAACTTAAATATGCCAAACGTGTGCGAATAAATTAAGTTGAAAAAACGTACCCGGTGAAAAACAAATACAAATAGATAGGTACGACTAAGTCGTACGAAAATATATTTCAGTTCATTGACGGTACATTATTTTGTATCGGCGAAAACATCAAACGACGAATTTCGCAGTATTCCTACACATCTTCACTACACGATTACGTCACTTTATGTGCTGCGGGAGAAATGGTCGATATACATGCGTCTATATGTTTTGTATACATACATACATATATATATATATGTACGTGTACAAGTGGTGTATTGTTAACTAATTGCGTTTCGCAGTTGAGTGACTGTATACATTCATAGAGAGTCTCTAATGGACTCCTATCTAAAGTAACACGTATAAAATGCACTTCGGATGTTGCTCGTCGTGTGAGCAGAATCTTTCGGAGTAATATGTCATTTTTTCATCAACTCCCCAAGTACATTATATTATTATTATTACTTTTTATTCTCATTAGTTTATCCGCGGTAGACAAACGTTGTTATTGGTATAGCCGCATTGCCGTACCAATACAAGCAACAATTATGCATACAGGGCCGTTCCTAGGACAGGGCAAGTGGGGTTTTCATCCCGGGCCAATGTTGTTTCCGATAAACAAAGTTTACGAGTAAAAGAACTGTTAATAGAAAAAAGAATGTTTGATTATAAAATGTCTAGTACACTTTCTAATCGTACAAGTGAAGATAATTTTAAAAATGAGTATGTTTTCCCAATTGTAGAGGAAGAATAGAGGTAGTATTGGTTTAGCGTCGATAGTGGATAAGATGAGAAAAAATAGACTGAGATGTTTTGGGTTTGTTATGAGGCGAGAGGAAACAAAAACAGCAAAAGTGATTATGAAAATGAACGTTGATGGGAAAATTGGAAGAGGAAAACCAAAAAAGAGATCGTTGGATATGATTAAGAATGATATGAGGGCTGTTGCAGATTTTTGCTGTGTTTGCATACGGGATGTAGAAAATCGAGACAAGTGGAGATTTTGGACAAGGGTGGTCGACCCCAAATAGTTGGGAGAAAGTCGAAGGAGAAGAAGAAGAGTATTTTTTTCCAATTCATGACTAAGAAATGTTTTCTTTAAGTTGAAGAAGTAAACAATTATTTTAGTTTTTGTTTGATTTAGCATGTTTTTCTGAAACAAATAAAGAAGATTTGATGAAGCGTTGTACGGATCTCTAGATATTATTACAAGTAGGTGAGGCTAGAAATATTAATAGGAAAGAATTATACGACGAGATGATAATTTTATCTAGAATTATTGTCAGAGGTACTCCACTTTTAGAAGTTTTAAAACAAATTTTCCAATACAGTGATGATGACATACTTGTATATTGTAATATTTTTGTAGCATTAAAAATATTATTATTTATGCACATAGGCGTAAATCTCGAGGATGCTAAGAGTGCTTAGCACCCCCAAT